GTATTATTAAAGGATACTATAGGACAAGAGGACATAGGTTTACGACGAAGGGTAAAGGTGATTTGATGGGATTTATTGGAATTTATTTTTATTCTCGAGTTTTGACACCATTCTTCAAGGTTTGTGATGTGTGATTGGAGAGTTTGGGATGTAATTGTTGGGTCCTAATTAACTGATAGGACACATGTATCATCGGCATACGTGGTAATGACTGTGTTAGGATGGATTGAGAATGAGATTTAAATTAGATTTATAGAACTGTTAAATATTTTTCAAAATTCGTTAATAGAGAAATATTATTAACGGTAATTTGTACTCGTGAAAGCGAAAGCAAAGTAAATAAGGGAAGAATAAGATCCTCTTTCCTAAAAATAACAATAGTTCAATTCGTGAAAACATTTTATTCAAACGACAACATAAATTAACTTCTTGGAATCAATTACATTCTATTCCGTGGTGCAGACCCCTTTTTATCGAATTATTAACATCCGCCTGAAACTCCGTGAATAGTTTCATTTCATCGTAACCTACAAATTATTTTATTTACGAAAATTTTCAGAATTGGGGAGTTTTCAATCGGGAGCTCGGCGAACTTTGTCTATTTAATTAGCTACCAAAAACTCGCATATACTCATTTGCAAAAAAAAAAAAAAAAAAAAAAAAAATCAAGGCTTTATTTAATTACACAATACAGCGTATTTAAGGATTGTTGTTTGTTGAGTTCAAGAGTATGAGGATTGAAATGTTTTGAAAATATTACCGATGTTTACTTTCGCTTATTTGGCAACATCTCAATCATGAAAAATTTCGAATACGAGTTTTTAACAGAATTATACGTTTTGAAGTCTGTATTATATTCGAGGTTTCGTTACGTACCTTCGATATGTAATTTCAGCTTCGTGTGATTTTTCGTTTTTGAGCTGGACTGTTCACAAACCCAGCCCGTTTTAAGGAACTTGGTAATTTGGATTTAGGAGACCTCAAAACGTGTATTTTCGTTGAAATCTCGGATTCAAAATTTTTCGATCATACCAGACTGAAACGATGTTTCCGGTTACTTCAGCACTTACTAGACAAACACTCTAAACTTCCCATTAATTACAAAAGACTCATATACATGACTATAATAAGGCCTATTTGGACTTACAGAGTTGTGCTATGGGGCTCCACTAAACCATCGAATTCCTCTCGCATCCAATCCTTACAATCCAAAATCCTTAATGCTCCCTAGTTTGTTACAAAAAAACCCATCCATAATGACCTTAATGTTTCTTATGTTTCAGATCTGGCCCAATCCAGATACCTATCCTTCCATCATAAACTTCAGAATCATCCCGACCCTCTCGTTTCTAACTTTACTTCTTATTCAATTCTTGACAACCTTCCGAGGCGTCTGAAAAGAAGATGGCCCCGTGATTTCCTGATGTAGACATATCATTAGAGTGCTACCATTGGGTAGTTTCTCAACAAGTGTTTTCACGTCATTATATCCCTATGTTCAAATTTACTAAATGTATTTCTTTTATACAGTTGTAAATATCATTAAGTAATAATAAAAAAATTGTTTTCACGATTACAATATTTTCTCTTATTATAAAGGGTATCTTATTTCTTCAGAAGTTATTATTCAGGCCAAACTCTAGGAGGCGATTCAAGACAAAATTTCCAACAAAAAGTACATTTGATGCATGGGCCGATTCCACACGGATCAATATTGTGTCTTCCTTAAGGTGGTCATGTTTTTTATTTAATAAGAAGAAATTGCTCAGAAATTATTCAAGATGATTAAATTCTAAGCACACCAAGGTAAAGTAAATATTGATCTCAACTTCTTTTATGTTCGTAATAGGTCCATGTATCAAATGAACTTTTTTGTTGCAAATTTTGTCTAGAATAGCACCAAGAATTTGTCCATTAATAACTGAAACACTCTGTCTATTTCATAGCTAGGTAAATGAAAGTAAAAGTATTAAAGAAAACTTCATCCAGATAATGAACTTACGTCAGAGTAATGGCTACGATAGTTGCTACCATAGCTACTGTAACTATAGAAACGATTTTGTTTTACTTTATACGCCTGAACATCGACCGTAAGAGTTGGTGGACCCTTTAAGCCATCGATGATTCAATAGATGAAAAATGAGATTCTATCTATGAGTTTAGGAACGGTATGTTAGATTCCGGATTTCATCGGTAAATTCAGCACTGAGTTTGTTGATGCTTGGCCATATATTTTGTTCAGAAGAGACTCATAGCTCTAAATTGCTCATTTCCTAACAACTTGAAAGATTAATTAATTTTGAAAAAGGAAATAAAACAGGTGTATCAAATATCAAAGAAGTTCATTTTGTTAGTCGAAAGGTAAAACCTTCTGTTTCTTTCCATTCTCAAATAGAAATGAAATGATAATATAAATAATAATACTGATTAGCGAACCCGAAGGTTCGATGCAGGTACCACCAGTCGATGTCTACATTCTTCCATCTACCGTACACCGTCTAAACCCAAAGCTACCGCAGCAAACTTAACGCAATCTTCTCACCTTCAATTCGGCTTACACCTCGGACTTTTTAGGAATTCTCTCGTTACTAAGCACAGTGTTTTTACATGCCCATTTTATTCGTCTCAACTTAATCATCTTAATTATATTAACCAGGCAAAGTTCGCGAAACTAAGCGTTGTGTAACCGCCTAAATTCCCCAGTTGACTCATCCTTTTTCGGTCCGAATATTCTGCTCAATACTTTATTTTCAAAAACTTTAAGACGTTGCTCATAACTTAATGTAAGCGGCCACGTTTCGCATCCATAAGTTCTATAGGAGAGAAAGAGAAATACTTTATTTAAAGCAGTGCTGCCCTACTATATAGGGTTGCTCGATACACAGCATACTCATCAATCTTTTTTTTTTTTGACATACAAATTATATACAATTTTTTTTCCTATAATACAGCACAAACAATATCAATACTATAATATACTAATACATACCATTAGAATTATACAATATATTATATATACACATTTCTGTGAAACCGAAATAAGACAATGTCCAAAATTTATAGGGCTAAACAAAAATATTGTTATAAAAAAAATTTTATAACCTAATTTATTGTTAATTCTTATGTTTAAGTTTCGGGGCAACAACCGCGAACTAAGCAGTTTTGTAACTGATAAATAGCAAGTAAATTAAAATTTCCCACCTTTAACTTATCCTTAACATCCTTTTCTACATCGTTTTTTCTTGTTATCGTAGAACTTAAACACCTAAACTTCTCTACACGTTCAAATGTATTTCCTTCAATATCTATTATACTGAAATTGTTGCCATTTTTAGTGCTAACTATATATTTTGTCTTATCCACATTTATTTCGAGCTCTATTTCTTTAATGGCTTTTATCAACATTGTTGTATCTAGTTTTATTGTTTCTGAGTCTTCGCTTAGCAGTACCAAATCATCAGCATACTCAAGCAAAGATATTGTTCAACCCGGGTCCAAACCTTTGTGTAATACAGGTCTAATTACATGTTGTAATGCCAAATTAATTAGAACAGGTGAAAGGGAATCACCTTGTTTTAAGCCAGAACGAACCTTATATTTCTCTGATAAATAATAACAGATTCTAACTTCATTGAATGTTTCGGTCATACACATCTTAACTCGATTCACTAATTTTTTGGGGATATCTTGCTCAATTAGAATATTATCCGGAGGTCAATGGAACCATAAGCCTTAACTGAATATCAATATGTAAAGTAAATAGCAACATTGAGGTTATAGCGAGACGACATTTAGCGGACCTATCGATCCTAAAAGCCTCTGAGCCATCGGGTATTCTATCGATAAGTAAAGGAACGAACTGAATTTCATCTGCGTGTTTAGGAACGGTCTGAGAGATTTCTGATGTAATCTATGAGCTCAGCGTTGAGGTTTATAACTTGCGAATCACCACATATATTATTACAGTAAGGCTCGAAATCGGTTTTGTACCAAATATAAGCTCCTGTCATGCTCAAATACCATGAATGGGGTACCGTTGGATTCAGAATTTCACGGAGGGTTAGCGAATCGTATTCTCCACTTTTGTTTTTCTTTCTAAAATAAATAAAGTCGATACAAACATTTTGCTAGTCTTCAATACTGGAACGGTGGTAAGTCTGTAGATCGATACGGGACAAATTGGATCTTGAAGATTTTGATGCGGACAGCAAGACCCGGATAGTTCCTCCGGAACTATCGGATCCCCAAAAACGTACTATTTTCTAGAAAACGCAAGGTATATGGTTCGCATCCACACAACCTTACGTTAATTGTAGTACTGTCATTGAATACATGTCTTATTTCGTCGACTTGAGGTCTCTATGATCGAGAGAGGAGGAGTTTATATTATTTATCGATGGTGTTTTTGATCGACAAGCCATATCATCGTCAATTTTCCACCAAATCTCAAGATTGAGCCACCAATTTCGAAGACTTCCTTCTCTTTCAGGCTGGCAAAATAGGCCAATCACCCCGAAAATTCAGGCAAACGAGTTATGAAAGAAAACAAACTTTATTTGCGAATAACTAAAAAATTACAAACTTTTCCCTTATATGATTATATAAAAGATTACTTAATTCCCTACAAAAGTAAAAAAAATGATCTAAATCGGACAATTTTTAGCAAAGATACAGCTTACTGAAATTTGTAAACATGTTGGTTCCAAACAAAAATGAAGATTTAAATTAATTTTTGTTTCCTTTGTCGATTATATTTATCGATAAAGTAACGTTTGATTTCTTTATTCTTTTGATACGTTGTATTATTTATTTATTTATTTTAATTTGGCATTTGATAACTATATGCTGTGCGAATTTTTCGCACGGACCTACTAGTTGTTATTATATCGCGTCATTCAGACGATTACCATTAATATCGATTCCTCGAAAAGCTGTTAGCCAAGAATCGATCCTCGGGGACTGGATGTTGAGAAGAGGGTCCCCGGGACGGCCTCATTTCCCTACGCAAGCGGGACCCCGAGGGCTACGTCACAGGCCGCTGACGTCACTTCAAGGCCCCGCCCACACCGCTGTAAACTCTCCGATATAACTGGTTCCATAGGATAAGTTCTCTTTAAATAGAATACATCGCGTATAACTCCTTCATTATGTGTATTGTTCATTTAGTCCAATCAGAACTTAGCTAACATTAAATATTGGGGTGAACGCACCAGTTATAGACAGGGGGCCCAGTGATGGACAGGTTGGACTTTAAATGTTTTTTTACTATTAAAACACTTTATTCAGAAATATTACAATTTGTCACAGTTTAAGGACACTTATAATAGAGTTCAGAGATTGCTACTTTAAATGTAAAGAATAAGTTTAATTGTTTATTTAAAGGTTCCGGTTTTTTTCTATATTGAAGAAAAATATCCTCTATTGACAACTGTATGCACAAAGTTCTCAAAATAAAATTTTAGAATCATAGTATCATTGTATATAGGTATGACTGTATTTTTTTTTTTTTTTTTCGAAACCAATAAAAGAAATTAAGAACTTTGGTTATAATATATATAAATATGTATACAGCTTTGCTGTTGTTTGTCCTTTTACTGAAGCCGAGCTTCATTTTAAGGTTGTTCTGTATTTTTATGTTTTTAATTTACTTATATTATAGGTTATTTTATTTTTTTATTGTATATAGTTTTTATTTATTATTATTTAGTTATTATTTTACTTTTGTTAATTTTTTTTTTTGTATATACGGTGTGAATGTGTAATAATGCTTTTGAGATAAGTGTGTTTCATACCTTCCTATTGACAGTTTTGCTATGAGTAAGTTGAACATTTATCTTATCTTATCATTTAGTTAAATAAAGATTTTATATTTTTTTCTGAGGTATGTCCATTTGTGGTACCGACCCCCGTCCATTAGAACAGTTAAATTATGGGGAGTCCGTGTCACTAGTGCAAAAAGGAATTTTTTTAAATGGTAATTACACCTTCATAACTGAATATATTTTCAATTTTAAAGTGTTAAATAGAAAAAGGAGACCTACGGATTCTAAATGTCCAACAGAGAAGTTTATAACTACAATAAGTAAGACCAAAAAAAAAATTCCTTAGCTAGGTCCATCACTGGTGTTGTTAAACAAACAGTCTGCTTCTTTAAAACAGTTTACTTACTTGATTTTATTAAATAATAATAATAATAATAATAATAAGGCTTAGCGAACCCGAAGGCTCGATGCCGACACCACCAATCGCTTGTTACACACCTCTCTCCACCGTTCGCCGTCCAAACCCAGTCCCTTCAGATCGGCTTTAATGCAATCTTCCCACCTTCGCTTCGGTCTACCCCTCGGACGCTTACCATTCGGCACAGCAAATATTAACCTTTTAGGAATTCTCTCGTTACTAAGCCCAACAACTTTACAAGCCCATTTGATTCGCCGCGATGAAATTACCTCAATTATATTACCCGGATACAGCTCACGCAATTCGGCGTTGTGTAACCGTCTGAACTCTCCGGTTAACTCATCCTTCTTCGGTCCGAATATTCTACGCAATACTTTATTTTCAAAAACCTTAATGTAAGCGGCCAAGTTTCGGGACAAGAGGCGAGAACTAAGTAGTTTTGTCATAGAAAAATAACAAGCATTCCCCGCCTTCAGTCTAACCTTAATCTCTTCTTCAATTGATTTTATTAAAAATAAAAATAAATATTTTATAAGAAAGATTAAGTTTCTTAATTTAAAATAAGCTCATTGATGATCATCGGAAATCCATCAGAACGTTCATCGATGGATCCGTAAGTGGATTTTTACGCGTCCCATTATCCACCGATAGCTCAGTGGTGACATCAGCTTTGGAGTAGCTCGATACTCTGGATGTAACCTTATTATCGCCTTGCTGTTATTTTTTCTCTATTTACTTTAAATATTTATTCACTTAAATCCCAATTAGCATATTCATCGTTTTTGTACAGTATCGGCAAAAAAAAAATCAATCAAAATCGTTAAGTATCATAACAAAAGCACCTTGATACTTATTTATTTATTTATTTCCACCCTCCCATGCCACAATGGCAATACGGGTGTTTGCAATAGTGTGTTTTAGGCATGAATACTTAATAACACACTACTACTAGATATGCACATATATAGTTCTTCTGTTTTATCTTCTTCCTTCTTCTTTCGGCCTAGCTTTCAGAATCTGGAGGTCTTCCTGGCGCATGTCCTCTTCTTCTGCGAGCACCAATATGGAAGTGAGCGGGCCCCACTGCAGTCTTCCATCCATTTATGAAATCCTTAAACCGCGGGAAATTTTCTTCACTGACTAACTGAGGAAACTCATTTTCAGTGAGGACATACATTCCCGCGGCTCTTGTCATTGTCGCTCTTAACGTTTCAAACGCGGTGCAGGTCGTGACCACGTGCTCTACAGTTTCCGGAACACTACAGATTGGGCATAGAGGATCTACATCAATGCCCACACCGTGAAGTTTAGCTCGAAATCCTCCATGCCCCGTGAGGAACTGGGAAATCCAGTAGTCCGGGAGGACCCACTTTGCCTGAAGCCTCGACTGTACTGTGGGAAAGTACTTCCTCAATGTCCTTTAGGGGTTGCTACCCACCGCCGGTTCCATGCTTCAATTGTATCCTCCCGGAGTATCTTCTTCCACCTATTAGGCGCTTCCATAATCCTCACCTGTAGATTGTCCGAAAGTACTGTAGAGCCTTCTATCTTGTATGAATATTTCGTCACTTCTTCTAGTAGGAGGAGGTCGAGAGGCACCACTCCCGCTAGAACCTGCACCGCTTCATGCGAAGTTGTCCTATATGCTCTGGTGACCCGAAGCAGAGCTGTCCTCTGAGTCGAGGCTAGCCTTTTTTTTTGTCGTAGTGTGAGGTTACGGAACCAGAAGGGCATACCTCAGGATACCCTCCACAACTCTTTTATGTATCGTGATTGTGGCTGGATACCTAAGGCCCCAGAATGCGCCCCCCACGCGAGTTAGGCCGTTCATTGCTAGGGCCACCCTACCTGCCAGATATTCCAAATGAGGCGTCATATTGAGGCCTACACCTATCCTAACCCCTAGGTAGGTTACCACCTCACTTGGACGTATCCTCTGGCCTTCTATGTACATCGTTATAGGGTGTGCCCTGTCAGTCTTTCCCTTAAGGAGGATGGCTTGAGTCTTGGCAGCATTCATCCTCATCTTCTTCCCCTCATACCACCTCTCGACCAGGCCAGCGCATCGCTCTGCCTCTGTCTTGACTCCAGCTCTGCTGTTTGAGGCCACCACAGCAGCTAGGTCATCTACATAGGCAGTAGCAGGGAACCGCTCTTCCTCTAACACTCCCAGCAATTCATCGAAGACCTTGATACTTGACTAAAAAAAGTTAACGAATTTAAACGGACTTACCATAAGTTACTAACCTCCACCTTCCAATAGTTGACCAACATATAACGTCCCTTTATCAAAGATTTTACACTATTTTTTTTTTTTTTTTTTAACTTGATTCTTCAATTCACACCTGCCAGAAGTTCCGACAATCAGCGAGTGTGATGTCAAGATGTAGAGATTGGTCTTGGAATAGGCATGAGGGAGAGGATTACCCAGCGGCGTCCTTCCTGTCTTGACCTTAATGTTTATAGTTAGTGGAGGAGATCCCTCATCCAGCTACTTTTAAGCCTCCTTCGGGTGCTATCGGGCATGTTAGTTGTGGCCATGCCTCGAATCAATGAGTTTGTATGTCCGTGTAAGTTATTATGAAATCGTTTGTAGTATGTTCGTATGTGGTCGTTAACTGTTGGCATCTGTAAGTCTTTGTGTAGAGTAATGTTACTGACGTACCAGGGAGCTTTGGTGATAGTCCTGAAAGTTTTAGATTGAAAAGTCTGTAATTTACGTATGTGAGTCTTTTTGGCTGTCCCATATATCTGTAAAGCGTAGGTCCAAATAGGCTTGAGTAGGTAAGTATATGTATTCAATTTCTGTCTAAGTTTTAATTTCGAATTTCTTGCAAGGAGTGAGTACAATAGGCCTAGTCTTAGGTTTAGAGTTTTTGTTTTGTTTTTAATATGTTGGCCCCATGTCATTCTTCTGTTAAAGGTCAGTCCAAGATATTGAACTTTGTCTGTCTGAGGAATTTGGATATTGTCAAGGTAAATAGGGGGGCAAGTTTCACGTCGAAGGGCAAAAGTGATATGTAGTGATTTGTCTAGGTTGAGTCGAATTTTCCAGAGTTTGCACCAGTCGTAGAAATTGTTTAGGTGATATTGTAAAGTCTGTGAGGCGTATGTTGAATTTTGATGTCTTGTCAAGATTGTTGTATCGTCTTCGTAAGTCGCGGTCAGAGTATCGAGAGGATCTGGAATATCATATGTTACACTAATTTAAACGGACATAATAACAGACTCATAAGAGACATGGCCACAGCTGACATACCTCAGAACATGAGGAAGAGACTAAAAGGTGTTGGATGAGAGATCTCCTTCCTTGGACATCCAAAGTAATTGAATCAAGTCGGATAAGAAATGCTGCTGATTACTGTTCTTCCCCATATCTGATATGTCATGATTTTCCTGTATTATTTAAATTTAGTTTACTTTTTATCTTCGTTGGGTAGTAGTCGGCTGGCTTCCATTTAAGGATGGCCATCGATAGTCAATATCATCGAAATATCGATTTTTTCCTTCGATATTCGATATCTTGCCATCGATGAGTATAGTTGAATAGCTCGCTGGGACCATTCTCATTCAGTAAACTCAACTTGCCCAAATTTGTCAGTTCGTACTTACAAACCAAGGCCACGAATTGCCAAACAAATCTATGTAGGATTTAAATAGATTATCATTTCGCTGAATCCGATCTAAGGTTAAATGCAAGGCATACTTGGAGGAAGGGAAGTTTCTGGAAAAAAAACTAGTGGAAGAATTGATATTTATATTAATTAATATAAAGAGGAAAATAACATATTTTTGTTTTATGCGCCTTTGTGCTAGAGAATCAATATTTATATTAATATTCATATTTCAAAAATGTTTATAAAATCGATGAAAACATCGAATATCGATATTTTAAGTTCCGTATTTTGATGGTATCGATAATTATATTTATATAGATGGCAATATCGATATACCATTTTTACTTCCACTACACATACTTCCTGGTAGGTAGATTTCATTCCTTATACACACAGAGAATAGAATACACATACAAGTTGCATTTGTTTTTGTATTTTATTATCCGACATCGCTTAGTTAAAATAAAAAAGATGATTTTTACAATTATCCTAGTGAAAGTCCAAATAATTTTTAAAACAACGCATTTTTGCTTAGATGAAAGATTATAATTAAGGAAATTCTGGGAGGGAGTTTTACAAAAATTATCCATCCAGAGACTTATATATTATAATTGAAGACACATTCCTACTGCCTCGCATGAAATTCGAAGTACGATTAACGATATGAAATGGTACAACTAGTGATTGTACAAGTTAATTATAATTAATTTCGTGTTTCTGTTTAACAGAAATGAGTTTCGAAAATTGGTATAATTATTTGTTTCAATACATAAAAAATCCACGAATTTGGTTAGGATAAAAATGGAGAGAATACAATTCAAAATCATCCCAAAAATTAATTTTTTTTAGCCTCGTCAATGACCAAACCTGTAATAAATCGACAGTCAAAAACTATACACCAAAACAATTATTTTAATAATTTTTACTCATCTCCTTTGACATATCCTAAAAAAAAGGAATTGAAATATTGCAAAAAAACAATGAAGATATAATATAATTAGTGAAAAATAATGTTGGGCTGCACAATTGTCGTTCACACAATTATCGATTACAGATGTATTCATGTAGAATGTATTAATGGTTTCAAGGAAATATTTTATTTTATTTTTATAGGATTCGTGATTTTAAATGTTCTAATTCACAGGTACCAGATATTTTTTTTGGCTACTGGGTCATTTGGAAAACTGTACTGAAGAATTGATTTTATAATGGATTTAATTTTTTTTTGTATTGGTTGGGATATATTTTTAAAATCAAGATTTTTTAGGTGTGTTGAAAAAAGTATGTTATAGTTTTTTTGAATGAAAATATCTATAAAGATATTTTTACTTCTTAATTTTTGACATTTTTTAAATTAATCTCCACAACAAGCGATTATTTAAAAAAATATATATATCCTTTGTTTTATTTTTATATTTTGTATAATATTTTGAACTCGATCAATTTTTTTAAATTAAATTAAATTGTTAAATTGTGAGCAAGATTCAATAAAACGATTTTCATCTATACTAAAAAAAAAGTTTTAGTTAAACAATTAGATAATTATTCAGTAAAAAATAAAAAAAATAATACAAATTTAAACTTTATAATTCATTTCAGTAATGTCTTGTAGTTTTTTGATGAAATAATCATATCATATAAATCAGTCAATATGATTGTACACTGGAAGTTTGATACAATACGAGAAAACAAATATGAGGAAAGGACGTGAAATTTTTAATTATACAATATATAGCAACTCAGTAGCCAAAAGCTCATTTCCAGATACAATCTTACTTCTTGGCCAAAAAGTTATTTTTATAAAACTATTATTAAACTCGAACTTATGAACAATTTAATAGGTCTACTATTACATAATTCACATATTTAAATGTAAGTATATAAATTGACGAAGCTTTATATAGCTTAAAGTTTCTTAAATCGAAAATCTTATTCCATCCATAATTTTTTTATAAAATAAATTTAGTATATACTATAAAATGTGTGTATATCGAATAAAAAGTCTAATTAATTTAATAATAAAAAAAAATTTTTTTTCTTAAAAAAATTTAACTGTCAGATCGGTATCTGTAAAAATCTATATCTAATCAAAATCTATTTATACAGACTCTGATACATCAGAGTTATCAGAGATTAAGCTCTATATGCTGCACAAAATGGTGCAAACCCTTTCTCCGTAAACAATTATTAACTATTGTTTTAAAATAAAAATGTTTAAGAAATTTTTCATTATTTCTAGCTTATAAAGGAAGTTAAATATAAGTTATTGATGTAGGTAAGAAGAACTGTATTTCACCTTTTCAACGCTTGTACTAATGTAGAATTTGGAGAAAATCCTAAGAAGTTACTTGCTTTACATAAAGAATATCATGTTTTGATTATTATGAACATAGGCGCTGACTTTCTATTCTGGTGGGGGGGAGGAGGAGGGAATGAGAAGACGATGGACCAACCTAAAAAAAGGTTTTGGATGTTTGTATAATGTATAAAAATAATAATTGTGGGTTGATGGTTGAATATAGTGAATAATTAAAGAGAAGGGTGGTTGGGGCGACCAGTCAAATTAAAATGGTAAAAATAAATATTTTTATTTATTTTTACATTCGCCGACGTTTCGGCCCGAAGTTCAGGCCTTCATCAGGGCTGCTGTGCAAGAAGCAAAGGCAATTTTGCTGTTTTTACAAATATTGTCTTTGCTTCTTGTACAGTAGCCCTGACGAAGGGTGGTTGGGCCGAACGTCAGCGAATGTAAAAATAAATAAAATATTTATTTTTACCATTTTAATATGACTAATTACCTCCAACCATCCTTCTCTTCAGTTATAAAAATATAAGTAATAGTTAACATTAAAAAAAACCTGTACCACTACAACCCATGAATGGTCTTGGGTTCAGTACTATTTAGGAAAAGTACTGTTTCAAGGCCTACGATTGTACAGGGAGGGGATCAGGCCACTATTACGCTCAACCGCCAGATTTTCTCCCTTAATCACTTATTTAATTAACGGTACCAACTTTGTAGTGGCTGGGTGTGCCCTAGAAAGGGTCTCCCTACCCCAGGGTCGCCCCACGGCCAATGAAACAGAATAAATAATATATGTTCCTTGAGCCGGGATTCAAACCTGAGACAAAATTTTAGTATTTATACGTAGTAATTAAATCTACACATTACTATAAAAAACACCTATCTATCTATCATCTATACTATGTATACTAACAAAATTGAGGACGATGCCTTGTCTACTGAATCCAAGATTATTTTTAAGTATGAGTAAAATACATTAAACATTTAAAAATAGTGATTAATTGATTTTAAAATCTCAATATATAATTAAGAACCAATAAGATCGCGTCGCTAGCTAAAATAATATATAATATTGAATATATAATAAGATATTACGTTGAGTTTACCTTGATAAGGCTGGCCGCTATCGACGAACATGGCGACACGACTGTCTTCAAACATCTGTCGTGCACAACAAAGTTACACACTGAAAAAAATAAATAGAAATTAATGAAATTATAAAGAAAAATAACTTTTAAAACGATTATAATCAAATAATATAAAAATCAGTTTAGGTGAACTTAAAGACGAAAACGAAACTTAAAACTTATTTAGAAATCCATTTATAGGATATAGAATTTAGAAAACTTAGAAATCTTATCTACGGTACTTTATGGATGGAAAATATGGAATCTAATATTAAGGAATGAGCTACGTTTTGAGGTTTTTGAAAATAAAATATTTGGAAGAATATTCTAGGCGAAGAAGTCTGGGTCAACCAGAAAATTTAGACAGTTACACAACGCCGAATTGCCTAAACTGTATTTAGAGTTAATTAGATTGCGATAAATAAAATATTCGTATTTTTATTTTATCTTTTGTTTGTCCTTCCCTTCCTAGCTTTTTAGGCTATATGGGGTTTTCCCGGGCCAGAGGATGAGGGCGGGGGATTGATTTCTGAGTTAAAAGCCTCCTTAACACCTGGACGGGAATTCATAACTATTTTTTCAAATTATCCGGGTTGCCAGGCAACATGGTGGTGGGCACACGCATTATGTCCCAAATTCGAAAATTGTGTCCCCGTCATTTCCTTCAATAATCATTCATTGACTGGACTAAAAATGGTAGGCAGGTAAGCAAGAAACGAGAAAATTATAAAATAAAATAATTGTTCCAATAATAAATAAAGTATTATATATATATATTACTTATGTAATATATATTACTATAACCTTTAATAAATAAAATATCCTCTTGAATTAACGCTGAATCTAAATTCAATATATCCCTTCTAGTATCATTTAAATATTTTAATATATTTTTAAAATGTAACAGTTAAATCAAATGTATAAAGATATAAACGTAGATGTATAAACTGCATTGAAGAAATGCAAACAACAAAATATTATAATTCGGAAAATTATACTATAAAGTATTAATCCAATGTTACTATGACGCATTCTTATCATTTTTAGGCATATATAGTATTTTTCTAATCAATTTTTTTAAAAATAAAATTTTTAGACCGCTGGTTTTATTATGGAATAATAATAATAATAATAATAACCTTTATTTGTGCATACAATGAAAAAAAAATGGATAAAAATATACAAAATCTCTTATATATACAAAATCAACTTAGTTGAGGTTCTGAGTTCGATTTTTATTTCTTTCTTTTTTTTTTCCTAACTTTCTTGTAACCACACTAGGTAATGAACCTGTCCCATCCTTTTCCATTCTTTCCTCTCCAATGCTACTCTCTTCCAGGCTGCTCCCCCGCAGGTCTTCTTCATCTCCTTGTCCCAGTCTGTCGGCGGGCGTCCTCTCTTCCTCACGTGCGCTCTTGGATACCAATCCATAAACTGTCTGGTCCATGTTAGTTCATTCCTCCTGATTACATGTCCGGTCCAGGTCCACTTCCTGATGAGCACTTTTTCCACAATATCTGGAAGGTCAGTCTTATGATCCATTTGTTTGCTTTTCTATCCCTTCTTGTTATTCCGAGAAGATATCGCTCCATTCCTCTGACGGTTATCCTCAATTTGTGGCAAGTCTTGTGGTCAATTGCCCATGTTTTACAACTATATGTCATGACAGGAAGTACTGTGCTCACCCAAAGTTTTCTCTTGACCTCTGAGCTCACCGAGGATTTATATATATCCTTAAATTTGAAGAGTGCGCGCCATCCCTGGGTACATCGCCTGATTATTTCTTCATTTTGTCCTTTAATTGAGATAAGGTGCCCAAGATATAGAAATTTATCTACTTTCTCTATATGGTATTCGCCTATTTTTATATCTCCCTCAACGTTCACTGACATATAATTGCATTTTTTATAATTTATTTTCAGTCCTATGTTTTCTCCAGCCTTTATTAATTGGTTTGCCATCGTTAGGATTTCTTCTATATTTTTACCTATTAGGACTTGATTATTATGGAATACAAGAAATAAAAACTTTACAACAATTAATTGTAGTAATTTTTGCTTGAAACAGGGGTACTTTACTTGACATGGTGCATTTTTTACAAAACTTGAGCTGAATCTAAATTTTTTTATTTAATCAATACGAACTTAAAGCTTATTAAACGAAGAATTTTCTTAAAAGTGGGGAAACTCTAATATAGTTGGATGATGATATAAAAAAAAATGGGAAATAATTTATGATTTAAAAAAAAACAGAACGTAGCTGAGTTTCATGATAAATTCTACGTTAATTTAAAGTAAATTTCATCTTATTTACAATGAAGCAATTATTAATTACTTAAATTAAATATTTGTGTAGTTGTTGCTTTTGATTATATAAAAAACATGACTCAGTAAAAAATCACAAAACTTGGGTTTGCAACTTTTCTGCTAAAAATTGGCCCATTGTTTAAATTAACTTTTTTATATCTCTTGAGGTTTATTATCACTTATATAAAAAAAAAAAAAATAGGAATAGATACATCTTGAGGAGTTTTATGAATGAACAGTTTCAAACCCACAGGTAGCTCCTACAGGTTTCTGTCATTCATAATAAACGTCACTGTCATTCATAAATATCACTGTTAGACAATGAATGAGTCGAGAAACTTTCTTGCCTAGCCAACAAATTATCACAACTATCGTATAACTATAATTGTTCGGTCCTTGATGCATTCCAAGTGATAATATTAAGGACGAACTATAAAACTGGAACAACACTACTGGACCAAACAATAGGGCATGTTTATTCCAGGAACTACGGAAGGGGGGAAACGGACCGGAAATTCAAAAATGTAAACAGGAAGAAGATCCATAGAAGCAAACACCATCCTCGCCCTGACCTAATTATCTTAAAATAATAATGTGCGAAGCAAAATTACTTTTTTTAAAATTTTATTAAGAAATAATATATTTTGCCACACTTAAGGCACCTAATTATTAGAGCTATGTGAGACTATATTATATACCATATATAGTACATAATGACTATTGTTGCCCAAAATCAGTCTTGGTCTTGCACTTTGCAAAAGACCAAGACTAATACCGCCTCACTGTTGCAAGACCAAGACTCAGATTGGTAAAAATAAACGACTTTTTCATTAAAATTCAGGCAAAATACTAATGCTTAACAATTTTAGTTGTTATATATAAAGAATTGGTATAACCAATATACTATCGCATTCAACTCTTCTAATTTTTCATTCGGGCTTAGTTAGGTGTCCCCGATGTAAAAAAATACAGTATAACTAAGCTAATGGATAATTGCAAGACCGTTGCGAGACTCTTGCGTAGGACCAAGACCTAGACCACAACTGAGTTTGCAAGACCAAGACTCGTCTCGGTCTCGCATTTAGGCAACACTAATAATGGCCAATTCTGGGAGTTATTCTAGATAAAATTTCCAACAAAAAAGTTCATTTGATGCATGGATCGATTCTGAACGAAAAAGGAGTTAAGACCAATTTTGTGTTTTCCTTAAAGTGGTCAACATTATTACTGAATAAGAAGAAATTGCTCAAAAACTATTCGAAATAATTAACTATTATATGATGGGTGTACACAAAGTGCATACACAAAATTGTTGATCATAGCCCATGTTCTATTAAGTGTTTGTTTTTAGTTTATCTTAAAAGTAATATTTTGTTTGTATATATATAAATATTTTTATTTTTGATTGTTTCTACTAGTGTAACAGATTCATATAACTATTGTTATGCAGTAATCGTTTTTTGTTTTTAATTTCTATTGTTATTCATGTTTTGCAAAACCCATTCTAAACGTAAATTTTATTTATTTTTAAATGATACATATGTATGTAACTTGTAAAACCATATTATACTACAATAGCCAAGCTAGGCTCTATTTATATGGGAAACTCCTCAGAAACTAATAAATTTCTATCTATCTATCAATCATTTATTAATTATGAGAAATCAATTAATTATATTTTTTATGGCTACGAAAATCTCTTTATTAAAATCGAGTTATGAGATAGTTAGACAATAGCTTGATACTACTTCTTGCTAATTACATGTTCTACTTGATAGTTCGATTCTCTTATACTACCTTCGGATAACAAACATTGCCTATCTTGATAATCTGACGCTGCACTCTGCGAAGAGAACTTGCGACATCTATTTAAATCTTTTTTTTTTTAGAACTCCAAAAACTAGATAAATAATTTTATTGATACTTTATGGATTTTCCGAGAATATTTTTAGTTGGAAGAATATACATTTTTCACTGTTTTATTGAATAATTCAATTTAAAAAATTAAAAAATAGATTTAGGCGATGTCGAGAGTTTTTCCTTACTCATCCCACTGTGCACTGGTTCGTATATTCATCTATTACAAATCTGAGACTTCATTGCAATGTTAATCATGTTCCTCTTCTATCAATTAAGATCAAAAGGATCCAGTCCCGAAATATCGATATTTTTAATTTATATTTTGCTACTCCTATCCTTACAGTCCAAAATCCTTCGTAAAATCCTCAATGCTATTTAGTTTGTCACAAATAAAATCATCCATAACGACCTTAATGTTCCATATGTTTCCGATTTAGCCCAATCCAGATACCTATCCTTCCATAACAAACTTCAGAAAAATCCGAACACTCTCGTTTCTAACCTTGCTTCCTCTTCTATCCCTGATAACCCTCCGAGGCGTCTGAAAAGAAGATGGTCTCGAGATCTTCTATTGTAAATACATTATTTTTTCTTAGAGTGCCACCAGTGAGTAGTTTCTCAACCAGTGTTTTCATGTTTTTATTTTCTGTTATCACATTTACTTGATGCATTCTTTCTTAATGCAGTTGTAAATATCACAAAATCGGCATCAAAAATTGCACAATAAGAGAAAAACATGTTTTCCCATAGAATGTAGAGCAAAAATGGCTAGAACTAATTCTTGTGATTTATACTTAAAATCCTTTCAATTTTTACTTCCACTTTTTTAATTTCATTGATAAAATTCTTTTAACACATAGAAATAGAATAATGCCAAAACTTCCATTTTTTACTTTCACTT